GGGGGTCTGGCTGTTGCAGCAGCTCTGGGGGCTCCGGCTGCTGCTCCGGAGGCTCCAGCTGCTGCTCTGGGGGCTGCTGCTAACCTGGGCCATGAGAAGCACCGAAGAGCAGCTTGGAGGAGCCAAGTGCCGATGACCTGCCCCAGCCTGAGGCTTCTCTACTCCTGTTTCCCCATGAAAGCATGTGTGGAAGTCTTTCCGTGTCCCCCTTTATCCCAACCCTTTTTATTCCACTGTGAGGTCTGGAGGTTTAACCTCTGATATTCACTGATCTGGTTTCCCCTCTCAGACAGTTCTTTGGAGCACTTGGTGCTGATATTCAGTTATGAAGCTACTTTCCCTGTGACAATAAAGCTGTTTTTCCTGATGTTGCTGCCTCCTGAAATGTTCTGTTCACCTCTCCCCTCCCCACCCTCTGTATCAAGCTATCTTCCTTCTCTTAAGTGCAAGAGAGCACTTTAAAATCTGCTTGGGAAGCACATTTTGGCACTGAAACTACTTGGAAACTACATGTCTGATACTGTTATCCCTGACACAAGCTCGCACGAGGAGAGCCAATAATGAGATGGAGAAGAGGATGGAGGTAACCAGCAAGGTCATACTCTGGGAAGGTTTCCCTTCAAGTGTGGATCATAGTTTGAAAACTAGTTCATCTCTTATTCATGGGGAATGCAATTGCCCAAAGTGGGATCCAGTGAATGAGCATGCTTTACTCTTCTGATAATCTCAGGTGCTTCCACCAAGTGTGAAATGTCTGAGTCCATTTTCCTCAAGTCCTGAAATCCTGGGTTTGGATTTGGGTCTGGGTAGCAAACCAAGGAGACCCCTCTCTCTGCCAGACTGCCTCCTTGTGGTTAGTGTGTGTTTGTGTGCGCATATGCACATGTTCAGTGGGGGATGGGAACAGGGGGTGCTTGGTCACCGTGTTTGATTTTCAAGGTAACATTCCTTTAGGAATGGGCTGATTACTTCAGGAGAGGTCTCAGACCTCTCCTTATCTAGTCCCATACCATCTTTTGCCTTTCAAATTAGCTTTTTATACAGAAGATTAAACAATTCTCCCCTCCTTTAATAAGAGTTGCCAGCGGCAGGAAAAGTCAGCCAGTGTATGAGGACATAGCACGCTCACACAACAAGATCATCGTCTCATACCAATGCCTATCAAACCACACTTCCTTTTCCTTCCTCTTCTCTTCTCCTTCCTCTTCTTCTTTCTATCCTTTTCCTTCTTCCTCTTCTCCTTCCTGTTCTTCTTCCTGTTCTACTCATTCTCCTTCCTCTTCTTGTTCTTTTTTCTTCTTTTTCCTTCTCTTCTTCCTTCTACTTCTTCTTATTCTTTTTGAAGAACTTTATAGTTCCTCAGAAGAGATCCTGCTTCCTTCTTGTTACCTCATTACTTCCTTCTCTTTCCGAATATTGACCTCACCTCTTGGATTGTCTCACCTATACTCACCAACGGGTGCCCTAGGTTCAGTATAGGCAACCTGTTAATCAGGCTCTAAAGCCACGTTCAAAGAAACTGGTACATTTTGTGACTTACCTTTCCTTGTCTGTTCCCTCATGCCACTCCCAGCTCACTCACCTCTAAGCCTATCTCTCACCATTAATTCTTGAGTTCTTAGTCTTGGGTTGCTCTTATATCTTATATGTACAGCTGTAGGAAGCTGAACTGATTAAGAGGCAGTTCTGAAGCCAGTTGACCTCTAAAGTCTCCTCCAACTCTTAAAAGTTAGTTATTCTAAAACCACCTTTAGGGACCAACAGTTGGCATAATGGCTACGTCGCTGGACTCCCATGTAGTCAACCGCAGTTCTAGTCCTGGACCTGGTAGCTTAAACTCACACCGGGCGTATGTGTGTGCGTGCCCAAGATCCCAAGAGGAGAATGGAGGAGAAGAGATTGTGGCATGGCCATCCCCCCTGGGGGGATGATTTCTCGCTTTCTGTCTCTCCGTCTCTCTCTGCCTTTCTGGCAAGCACATGTGCCCTATAGCAAAAACCTCTAAATATATATATATATATAAAACCACCTTTAATCATGGACACATTGGACGTCTGGAACAAACTTTCTTCCTTCTCTTCTCTTCTTTCTTTTCTCTTCTTTTCTTTCCCTTCTTTCTTTGTCTCTGTCTTCCTTCCCCTTTCTCCTACTGAGCAGTGGCTCCAGGGAGAATCTATCTTCAAAGGGAGATAGTAAGAAAAAGAAAATCCCACAGGCCGGCCTGTCATTTTGCAATTGGGCTTGTGTTCTGCACACATTTTTCACTTAGGTCCATCAGGACTATATCATGGGTATATGGTCACCTGACTAAAATTGTAATTTTCCTGGTCTTTTTTCTTTTTAAATTGTCAATTGTGTGTGCTCATCAGGGAGAAACAAAGAGACAGAGAGAGCGATACGGAGAGGGATCAAGCACCCTCCATTGGGGCGTAGTCACATTACAATCTTTTCTTTTCCATTTCTCCATCCTTTCATGATTTGTGGTGCAAACATATGCACCTGGTTTTGGGCACACACATTTGCACCTGGGGTGTTTTGGAAGCCCCTGGGGACAGGATTTGAACCATACAGTCAGTCATATGGGTCCCTTAACCACTAGGCCATGTTGCTGGCCCACAACTTTTCTCGTCTAAATGGTCCTTAGCTTTTCCTGGATTTTCTCCTTGTCTTCAGTGACAGAAATTATCACTGGGATTCGCACAGATGCATCTCTGCCATCATTTTCATTCAACTCTATCTGGAAACATCTTCATGAAAACCAGAGAGCTGTTCACTGTATAGCCTGTGGCCTGCCCTGCAGAGCCAAGAAAAGAAGAGCCAAAGAGATGTGGACCAAGATGACAAGTAAATGGACTACCAGCTACACAATAGTTGACTACACAGGATGGGTATGTGGGCAAGAGGAATCATGTGTGTGTGTGTGTGTGTGTGTGTGTGGAAACAAGTAGAAGGGGTCTCAGACCTCTCCTTACTTGGCCCCATGTCATCTCTTAGCATACACACAGTACTTCCAGCTATGAACGGTGTCCTGTTTGGAAAGTCAACATGTCACAGCAATCCTGGCACCTCTGTGCAGTGACTTAGATGCCCACGTGCCCCACCTACGGGGCTACCTGAGTGATGAATGTCTCTGGGATGTGGATGTCAGCTGAGCAAGTCAGTTGGGAAATAGGCCCCTCCCAGGAATCTGTGATATTAAAAGGTTCTCTTGCTGGACACTGCTCAGTCCACTGCGTGCCAGGTGGCCCGTGACAGTTGGAAAACAAAGTGAGTCTTCTTCCAGTGCAGCCAGGGTCTGGTAAGTACCTCAGTGGGGCCTGAGGAAGGAGGTGGGAAGAGTTGAAGACAGAGGAAGAAGGCAGAACACAGATGCAGGTGGACGTAGACAGGCAACCATGGAAAGTGCCTTAAGCTTCACGTGAACAAATCATTTCTGGTACTAACGAGGTCCTCGAGGCCAGACAGGGGAGTGATCTACAGGGCTACCCTGCAAGTCTGCAGAAGAGCTGTGACTAGAACCCAGGACTTTGAGCTCCCAGGACTTGCCGGGATGTGACATGTCCTGCGGATGCTCCTTTTCCGTATGGTTGTGGGGGATCAGAGGTGTAGGCCAGTGTCCAGGACGCTGCTCTTGGCACTTGTGGATCCTTTAGACCGAGGAGAGAGGGATGCACCGGGGATGTTTTAAGTGCTGCTTATACAATGTGAATGGCTCTGAGAGTATCACTGGAAATGGCCAAAGAAAACCAGAGAGAGAGAAACAGACAAGGATCATACAGATAAATTCCACCATGGAGAATCTGAGTGGTCCTTATCAAGCCAGAGAAAATGGAAACCAGAGATGTTTTGCATAGACTGTTTCCTGCTCTATGCACATTTAACTCACTGGAAACACCTGTCTGGAGTTTCTTTGCTTCTCTTCTTTCTTGGTGTTTCTTAATTCGTTCCCCCTTGCATCAAGACATGCTGGCTTGCTCCCTAAGCCAAATCTCGAAAATCCTGAGTTCCAGTTATAAAGAAAAAGTCTGCTTGCGTCTGAAAGGCTGTCTTTCTTCCAGGTTCACAGTGAGAAGCCCTGCCATGTCGTCTCAGCAGAGCGCCGCTTCGGCCAAAGGCTTTTCCAAAGGATCTTCCCAGGGCCCCTCTCCGTGTCCTGCTCCCGCGCCTACTCCGGCTCCCTCCTCCTCCTCTTCTTGCTGCGGGGGCTGCTGTGGCTCTGAAGGCGGCTGCTGCCGGTCCGGCGGGCGCGGGTGGGG